AAGTGTAAGTTTTGAGCCGCGGCTAAAGTCGGGAAAATTAAAGTATTCTTCGACAGTCCGTGTTTACTCCTAGGATAAAGTGGAAATTCACACGCGATATATGGTCTGAACCTTTTCGATTACCATACAATTTTATATAGCTTTCTTTCGTTTCTAAAAGAAATCATGAAAGAAGGTCGAAGCCATAATAACAAAAGCAAAGCTAAAGAAGTATGGCACAAAAATAGCCGATAAAAGTCGTAGAAAAAACTTTTTGCGATCGCGGTAAAATTGGCCTGAATTTGCATAATAACATGAAAAGTGGTAATTTGAAACCTTCATGCCAACGCGTGTTGTTTTTAATGCAAAATGCAGCTTCTTTTCAAAAATACTTCTCTAACTAAAATGGCAGAATTTACACGTAGTAGCAAAATAATTCAAGCTGCTTGTTTATTTTTGTTTTCTGGCTCTGTTAGCAAATTAAGCTTTGATCGTATAATTAATAATCGATGAGTCGTGCCAATTTTGCTTCAAAACTCATTGGCGTGCAACCAAGTTTTTTGTTTTCATTTTGTAAGTCATATCACGAGTAAATTCTTTTTTTTTTTTTGAATGCAAATCTGCCCTCGTCAGAAAACAAATATTTCGTTCCAACTAAACGCTCCGTTAAGAAGGGGAGAAGAAACCCAACTGGAAATTTTTTAACATCAGTCAAATTCTTGAATCGATGAAATTATATAAACATGTAAATAAGCTGAGAACTTATTTTAAATACGCTAACCTGTTTAATTCCAGTTTGCTGTTTGTCGGGCCTTTCCCTGCTGTCTCTAACCGTATTCTGAGTCATGTTATTTCTCATTAGGGGATAAAAAAGGTCGTCAGACCGTATTTCTAGACTTGGTAAACATTAAAACTGACATAATTGCCGTGCGCACTTTTCTTTCGCTGTAGAGCTCGATAGGCTGGACACGATTTTCCGAGTGACTCAATATTTTGGCACAACTTGTGCACAGATTAGGCACAGTTTGGGCAAAACTTAGGCACAAGTGAGGCACAGCTTAGGCACGTTTTTCAAAACTAAAATGCACACTTTATGCACATCTTCGGCACACATTAGGCACAAAAACTTTGTGCCAAAGCACATTCTAGAATCCGATTTTCGGTCCAACGCACGGTTTACGAATTTTCACGTTAAAAAATGCTTTCTAACCTTAGATATTTGATCTTAGTGTAAAAATGGGTTTCCCGAGGTCTTAACAGTTAGTATATAAGGAAGTTTTAACTTATGAGCATTCCAAAAATTATTATTTCTCCTCTTAAAAACAAAAGAAAGTCGATCAAAAGCACCCTTTTAAATTGACGCTTCGATGCACAGAGATCGGATGTAGACAGAACAACTTTCTGAAAACGCCCTAAACTTTGTTCTTTTGCCATTATGTTAAGTCATTTTTACTACAGGTAGTATTCATAAGTCACCGACCTCTGTGGAGGAATTTTTCCAAAGTACCATTAACAGAAACAGAGAAATCCCACAATATGCGTGGTTAGACTGTAAATGTTACGCGATCTCTTAAAAAATGGTCCCATTTTGAGCCATACTTTTCACATTTTAATTTTATTTTTGTCTTACAGCCAGAAAAGAAATTTTCAATGTAAAGCTGTTTATAAACTTTAACTTCCTGCCAAATGTCGATGCGATCTGAGTTTTAATAAGTTCATAAGAGCCAAGCGATGTGAGATTTTTAGCCGTGTACACCAGTAGCGTGCGCCAGGCCATCCTTGGTTTTTTTACTGTCAAACAAGCAAATGCTCAGTGCTTCAATGATTTTTTTGAATGACGTTGTTGCGATAAATGTTAGGAGATATTAACTTAGATGGAACCGCCAGCCACTATGAGTTTTTTTTAGCGACTTTGACTCGACGGCCATGGCTGTCTGTAGGACCTCTCTATATGCTTGCGGTATTTATCAGTAAAATCATAGTTAATTGAGTGGAATGGTTGTGAAACCCGTCAGACTCCTTTGTTATATGTTTTTGTGGACCTGAAAGTGCACAACGTTCAAAAGAATTCCTATCATTTTGATTGTATTGACCAATAAAAACGTTGCATTAATTTATTCCGTAACAATTTGCCAACAGAAAACAAAGGATTGTGCACTTGTAGGGTGCTTCCAACATA